TTCTTAAGCAGCGCTTGCGCTGTAGTACCAACGGTGCCGTACCATAAAATACCATGAACGACCCGCGGGTCTCGGCCTGCGGCCGTCACTGCTCCTGTCTTGGATCGGCGAGTGTCTACGCGTGAAACTACCGCAAATCGCCGGTTCTGCTCCTGGCCCTGCAGCGGCTTCTTCGACGGCTCTGTGCATCGGGCTGGCTTTCAAGATGCTCGACAAAGCTCTGCAGGTAAGCGCTTCCTGAGCATGGTGAGAATCGTCGGCGATTCTCGGTCGAAAGCCTGCGGCCGCTTGTTTGCCTCTCTGCTGACGAGGTGCAGTCTTCGTCGCCAAGCTCGTACCGGGTCTCATCTATGCGGCGTCCATGTTGCTGAGATCTTTGCCAGGGTTGGCCTCTCGGGTATAAAGCAAGCTTCCCCGCTGATCCGAAAGCTACGAGTTTACATCAGAACCATGTCGCTCCACAGAAACCTACTTTCCGCCAGCTTGCGAAGCATCTTAGGCCTTCATGGCCTGCTCCTCGTCTGCCAAGCATCTCCAAGGTCCTGGCATGTGCACAAGACCAACTTGCAGCACACATCGGGCTGTCGGAAGGTGGCATCGTAGTAGCATCGCTTCAGATCGCATGCCTCTTCGTGGGAGCCCTGTTCCGCCAGGTCTGTGGTAGGTTGCTCTTTGAAGCGGATGTTGGCTTTACTGGAGAAGGCCTGCTCCTCCCTGTACCGAACTGTACACAGCGGCTTCCGGAGCTTCAAGGCCTATCGAAAATGGATGAGCTAGTTACCGTCCCAGACAGCAAGTGGGCATCATGCCAGGGCGCAGCAGATTGAAAACACAGGATTGTCGATGAACCCGGAAACTAGCTTTACGACGTCTGTAGTTTGCCACTTTGCCACTGTACTAGTATCTGCCGCCGGCATCTGCCTACTTCAAAAGACGGATGATGCTCCTCTTGAAGGAAGCATCGACGAGTCTTTGCAATGCATCCACACTGCTGCTGCAGGTGCGCAAAAGGGCATCAAGTCCAACGCAGGAGCTTGACAGCCTACATCGTTGGGCAGCCAGCTTGTCCTGAGATTCAGGTACAGCATGGTGCCACGTCTGAGTCAAGCTTCGCCATCCCGCGCTATTATGGCATCAAAGACTCTGTAAGACACACGACGCCTCGAGTCCGGAGGCAGGAACGGTACTTCAACACCGTCGCTTCCCCCGAAGGTCAAGCACTGCCTTGCGGGAGCACTGCCACATGCTTCTAGCGAGCATCAATCTGAGCCAGTGCTAGCTCATGCACTGCCCATGCCCAGCCTTTCAAGGTTCACCACACACTTGAAGCGCCGCCTGGCGTCGTGTCTGTGCCGCAGGAACACATGTTTCATCTGCAAAAGGGAACTGAGGCATGGTCATCTGATCGATTCCGAGCATTAGGAGAGGCTGTTCCACTCCCAGGACGGAGAAGTCCTGGGAGCAGATGAGGGGCTTTCCCGGGCAAGCAGGCTTCCTTCTTGAACCGACTTCGAAACGCCGAACATCTGCGACCAACGTTTGAAATCGAAGAGCGAGAGCGAACTCCACATGGCCCATCTTGACCTTAGCTGTACTCGCACACTGCCAGTAGCTAGGTCATTGCCGTGACCTCCGTCAACTCAACAGATGAGGCATGTCACATATATCTCCTTTCACAAGCACTTCTAGGAGCCCAAGCGTCTAAGGTTGCACGAATTCTGACGAAGCTGGACACTGGAATGTTGCGCGAACATGACGACAAGCGCAGGCCTTCACTGCCCAAATTGCGGATTGGTAGCCGGAACTCCGCGAAGCTTGCCAAGAATTCGCGCCGTTCCGACGCCGGCCGCCATTCCTGCAAAAGTCTTCACACTTGAGGCTGAATCCACGGGTTGGTGCTATGTCTTGTCAACCATACTAGCAACGTGTCTTCGAGCACCAAACACAATTCCCACCTTGGAACCTGCTGTCCATGTGCCCCTGTAGTTGTAATCTGCGCACGAGCGGCTCTGAGATCACCTTTCTCAGAACGTGATGTCCAAGGCAATGATGGATGTTGGTGAGTGCTACCTAAAATCTACAACCTGGGAAGTGTCGCTCAGAGCCAGGCGGAGGTTTGAGCACCTGTGTCGATCATCATCTCCACCATAGTGTTGCCCATCTCACACCTGTGCTGATCTCCGCGAATGAAGCTTGCTGAAGATGTACACAGCCCTCCTTCCGAAATCAAACCAAAATCATCACCTGGCTGCAAACAAGGCACCCGACGTGTATAAGTTCATCGTCCAATGCATCTCCCATCATTGAAGGGTCAAACATCGAAGGACCGACCATGCCTGCGAGTGGGCAGAACCAGAAATCTTTTCCCGCCAATACCGTTGCAGTGAATACCCTGCCTGCTGGTGGCCCTGCTCGCATCGAGGCGCCAGGAATCCTGAAAGGAAGAATGCTGGGAGCTGTTCACAACAACTCAGCTTCAAGGCAAGAATCCTGAACTCGTTCTCGGATGTGCAGCGCGGGCAAGGCACACGAATCACCTCATCTTGCATGGCTCAGGGCCAAGGATCAGCTCACAACTCTTGCATGTTCGCAGCACCCCTGAACATGTCTGTCTTGCGTCAGCTTGGAGCACGAACGGTTTTTGTCTTTGGAAGGGGGACCTTCTTTCGGAGGTTTTCGACATCAGAGGCTTTGCACCTCTGAGACATTGTGGGCAGAGGTTCCGACCAGCATTCCGGGCTCAAGGTCTTTTCTACAGCCGTGGAGCCTAAATTATGAGCTTTCAAGCTGGGTTGGGCACGGTATGCTAGGATATAGGCATCGTATCACGGTGCCTGCACTTTCCAGACTCTAACCTGCACTTGCAGGGAAGCTGTGCGAACAGCTCCCGATTCTCCGACAGCCATTCTTTCTTGAAGTGCCAGGTACACAATAACACCATTATGATGTTCTGAAAGCTGACACACCAGGATCTACAATTCAGGTTTCATCTTTTTTAAGGACGACAACGAAGGATCCAGACCTGGACGATCTTGGAGCCCGCGAAACGATGAAGTCTGAGTTTGTCGACTCAACTTTGAGTTCCGCAGCAGTTGAACCGCACAGCTCAGGAATGGCAGCAACACAGTGCTCACGGGACGACTTGCGAGTTCTCTGTAGCTGAAAGGAGATCGTCGCTTCCTCCAAGGCAACTTGCCACCAGGACACGGAATCTGGCGCAGCAGAGAGCGGCACTTGAACCTGTCAAGTTCTGACGCAACGACATGGACGAGCTCAAGAAAGCGCAGTTGGGCTCTTTCTTCCCTCAGCCTGCACAGAGCTTTGGCAAACTCCACACTGCATGGTGACAACCTCGACTTGGGAGCTCTTGATATTCTGCGGCAAGCCGTGCAACGCAAGTCTTAAGGCTTGAGGCAGGGAGCGCGTTGCTGTGCTGGTAACCCGAAGCTGCCTTGTCGCGCAAGCCTGGGCGACTGCATTGCACTGAAACTGTTCATGCTGTCTTTGAAGGATGCAGCAAAAATTCGGGAGATCTCCTGCCGCAAGCGGATCTATTCGCCCCCTTTCTGCCGAGGCACATCTGGGCCACCTCTGCATCCTGCTGTTCCTGCACGTGTCAGCGGAAAGCCTGTGCACTGGAGCTCAAAGACCTCGGCCTGGAGCCCAAAAAGATGGGCTCAATTCCATGGAGCAGTACCCAAGGCAGCCAACGCTCTGTCCTGCAATGATCTCGCCAAAGCCTCGTCGTTGTCTGTCTCGCCACTGGCACGAGGCCGCTCCTGAGATTCCGCTCCACCGGACATGCGCAGCTTTTCCTGTGCTGAGGCATTTCGCTCGTTGCCTTCGTTTGCGGTCGCAACCGCCGAGCTCAGCAGTCCAAACCTACGCTTCTTGAAAGTGCAGGCCGGCGACGCGCGCCGACGACGACGAGGCGGCGGAGCAAAAAGGCCACATGATGGGCAAATATGTCAGCAGCTGGATCCGTGCGACTAAAACAAACAGAAGATAGAGGGCTGTGTGTCTAGCCGGTTGCAAAGTGGTGCACAAGCTTTATATAGCAAATTATATGTACAGCGTGCAAGCACATAGGTTTACCCGAAGATTCTAAACGATGATCCGAGATTTCGAGCAGAGGAGGCATCAGCAATTCCACCATGGCAACGGATGCGGCAAGCTCACAGCGAAAGGGCCCTTCGATGATGCTTGCTTATAGAATGTCCGCACCGGCACAGTGAATCCGGAAGCAGGCTGGCCTTTGTCGGGATGAAGCTTGCGCCACTTGGCTTCGGAGCCTCTGAGCTTCGGACTGCTGCAAAAGTAGGAAGCATTCACATAAGACAGCCCCTGTGATTCGACTCTGAGCTATTCCCGCTGCAATGCCACCGCCATATACCGCCAAGTGTTGCCTGGCCTGACCACGCGACCTTGCAAGCACGCGGAGCAACCCGTCACGCTGGTGCACAGCCAGCCGCTTCTCAGTAGGCCTCAACCACCTCACCGTTGGACATGGCGAGATGTCGGAAGCCCTTCAGGGAGCAGGAGTTTAAAGGTCAAAGCTGGAGCCCCCGGCGGAAATCTCAGATGACTCAGGCTCCCATCCTGCTCCGGCAAGCCGAGGGCAGTGCTGATCAGGGCCTCTATTGGCCGCATGCGACAGAAGGCTTGTTTTCATGCGATGCCTCTCACCTTGATAATTGCTCCATGGGCGACGACCAACGACGTTTCTCCTCTGCTGGGGGCCACCTGGATGCTGTGATGCGCGAGCTTTGTGCCCATGATGATGACAGAAGAGGCATGTGCTGAAAATGAAAACCAATGCAGGCCTGCCGCATCCGATGCCAGGCCTCGATGGAACGGCGCCACAGGTCTCGCACCACATAACCTCGCCAAGGGTCGCCACATGAAGGTCAGGGTCAGGGATGGAACAGGTCGACAGGTCAAAAGGGCCTAGATCTGAATCTCAAGCGAATCACGGCCACTGACCTGGAGGTTCCAAGTTTCCTCCTGCCGAGCAGTTACACCAGCGCACTCGCGACACTATCAGACAAACTGCTGTTGTCGCAGTCCTTCCACAATCTGATGAATTCCGGATCCTCTGCCCGGATCTCGTCCTGCGTTCGGCCCTGCCACCTCTCAGTGCCAAACTCGCCGCTGGCTCCACGTCAACAAAAGGCTCTGCAATGCCATGTTGACCAAGCTTCTGGCTCGTAGAGGTCAATCTCACGCAGCTCGGAGAGCTTGGTCTCCGTGGGTGGCAGCACTTCGCCTGCCAGGCTGAGAGGACATCATGAGCCATGCCATGCTGGTGCAGCTGCTGCATAGTGCCGCTCCTGCAACAGTCCTGGCCACTTCCAGAGTCTGACGCGCTCGCAGCAGCGGCGAAACGAACACGGCTGCAACCGGATTTCCCTCAGCTGCAGCCCTACAGACGAAGCCCGTGCAGGTGATCGCTGAACCCTACAAGGAGGCTGGCCTTCAGCCACTGGCCCAGCTCTTCTGCTTGGGAGATGCCCTTGGCAGTTAGAACGGAGCCCTCATCCATGGAGCCTCGCACCAAAGGCCGGCACATATTGGGATGCTAACATTCGCCTCTGGAGCAGCCTTGAAAGCGCTTCTCTGCATTGAAGGTCGTTTGTCCGTGCCGGACGAGCAGGAAACGCTGCTCACCCGTGGACAGCACGCCTTGTCGAAGCTTATGTAGCGTGGGTCTATTTTGGTAGTGGTCTTCCGAATCAAGCCTACAGGAATTCGGAGGCGAGCGGCTAAAAGCCGAGTGCCAGCCGAGAGAAGCTGCGACGAAGCACAAAGCGGCCCTGCGACCGCGCTGGTGCTCTCGTCCAGCCATCGGCACTCTATCTCCGGGACTGCTGGATGATGCTGCGTGTTGTGTCTGTAGTGGCGAAGCCAATTTTCAAGTGTGTTGTTCCGACACCCGTCTCGACACACGAAGCTAAAGCCTCTTGGCTGCGGGGAGCCCCATCGCTCAAATGCATCCGAGTACTGTCCTAACTCTCACACAGCAAGCTGCACGCAGAGGGACCAGGCAACTGAGCTCGCACACCTCTGGGCTGAGATAGCAAGGTGTTCCCACCATTGTGGTTACGAGTTCCATCGAGTGGGTCAGAGGACGGCTGACGCCGAAGTCTCCGATGGAGACGGACTCCTGTCATGGCTCGTGCCAAGGGCTCGGTATCTTCCGGCCCGCTCTGCAAAGCTGTGCTGTCCTCTTCGTGAATGTAGTGGGCACTGCCAGCACTTCTACCGGAAAGGAAGATATTGGAGGGCTTCAAGTCACGGTGCAAAACCTCGGAGCAGGCAGGGGTTGAGCGCTGCAAGCACAAATCATATTAGAGACGAACTCAGACGGTCTTGGTGAAAGTGGCGGATTCACGCAACTACTGCTCGCTGCTGCTATTGCTAGCACTGCTATGACTACGCCTACTGCCGTTGTCCTTCTATTCTGGCGCTGTGTATAATCATACAACGCCGAGTTGTAAGAACAAGGAAAACAGAAGAAAGAGGAGAAACACAAGTAGTATGGGAGGGGGAAGAGGAGAAGGAGGAGGAGGAGTTGCATTTGCATTGCAGTTGCGGTTTTAGTTGCATTAGCAGTTGTAGTTGCAGTTGCTGTTGGTCTTCTTGTTGTTGATCTTCTTGTTCTTCTTGCTGCTGTTGTTGTTGTGGCTGTGGTCGTCGTCATTGCGGTCGGCGGTGTAGTGGCACTGGTACTGGTCGTAGTAGTGGCTGTGGCAGCGCTGGAGGGAGGAGGGGCAGCACCCACCCACCCACCCCGGCATTGACTAAACTAGCGCTTCTACTTAAATCGCAATGCTTTCAATTTACGGCCCACCTCAGCCCTCAACAGTGACCTCTCAGAGACCCGGGCCCTGCCTGGTGCTGATGCACGTAGGCCAAAGCGCTGCAAAGCTCGTCGAACCAACGCAGCGCCGGCTGCTCCGAGAGCCGCCGGCACTCCTGGCAGCTCCCAACGGAGGTCATAATCCACAATGCCATAACCACTATAATATAATATATATATATATATAATATAATATATATATATAACTCCATCATCTAGGCAAAGACCGTTTGGAGGCTTCGCAACAATCTACCACTGGAAGTCGCTGCTAGCCTGGCGTACCTTTTGCAGTCTGTTCTGTAGGTCGCCTCCTGTCCACACATGGCAGGGGCAACAGTGAAGGCCCACATATCCACAGAGAAGGATAGTGGAGCACTTAGGAAGCACCTATGGCCTTCGCAGAAGGCCATCAGCAGACACAATGTGCCGCCGGTAGAATCCCGCGAGTTGTCAACGAAGGCGCCTAAGAATTCCACCTCAGCCGAAGCAAGCCCGCTGCAACTTCAAGCAAAGGGGGTACTGATCAGCATCACCAAAGCTCTTCGATGTTCGCTATGTCGCTATGTGATCTTATGCTGGGGCCCCTGCGATGTGCGGATGTCGTAGCTTCTGCAGAACTTGCGCTTCGCGGGCCGCGCTCTCGGCTGCGGCGGCAGCGTCGCTGCTGCCCTGACCGTCTCAAGATGGTGTTCCAGGGGCCCTCTGCAGTTTCTCTCCTTGCCGATTGCCTCCAGACGTACGCGCTTCAGTACAGACATTTGGCCGGAGCTTCGGTGTCTCACCTCGGATGTTTTTGCTAAGCAGGTTTGCCCTTCAGAGTGTCAACTGTCGTTGTCCAGTGGCCAGGAGGGCCTCGCCGAAGCTCCCGCGACCCACGGTGCGGACCTGGCAGACGGCCAAGCAACAAACCGCGCCAGTAGCTGCTTCAGTTGCTGCAGTGTCTCAAGTGGCCTTCACATAGTCTGAAAGAGCACCGTTAGCGGTGGCCAGCTGCGCCTGCACTGCAAGGGCAAGGTGCGAGCTGCTTCGAACATCATCACTGTGCAAACGCAATCAAAGCATCCGGCGTGGAAAGAAGTCCGGTGAAGAGGTCCGAGAGTCGCGCAGGTTGGGACGGCCGGTCACGGCTCCTTGCTTTGCCGCCGAGGGACCTGGATCGCAGCGCTGGGCGCCGCGGTCCGCTTCGCGGGCCGGACTCCGGCGGAGGCCCGGGGCCTTGCGCGATGACGCTTTTGGCAGGGGGGGCAGCTTACATACTACAAACATATGTAAATATGGTTTTATGCATTTATTTGTATTGACATTTTGTATTGTTGCCAGAATGAGGACAGCAAAGAGCTCTGATCTGCCCAAGGCCCCGAAGCTCTTCGGCGCCTCATGTCGTTTCGAAGGGCCAGGGCGAGGCACGAAGAAGAGGCTACTCCTATCAGCTGCTTCGTGCTGCTTTCTTGGTATTGCCTTGGACATCACCCGACGGGCTACTATGTATGACTTGATTGCACTGCGTTGAAGAAAGGACCACATGTTGCGAGGTCCCGATAGTTTGCGTTGGCTCGCCTTCCCAGGGCGCTGAGTCCCTTCTCAGGGGGCGGTTTTCTTTATGACAGGCATCCCGCCAGCTACCTATTTTTTGCTTGATGGCCGGAAGCTGGAGATGAGCCGAAGCCGAAGGAAGGGCGCAGCAAGTCAGCAAGTCCGTTCCTGAACAAAACGGTTTGTTCCTAAAGCTGGGCCCGGCAACGTGCCTTCTTGTAAATCCAGTTCGCGGCATAGAAGCATCGATAGGCACCTTTTCCCAATCACTGACGTGGGTTGTCTCATGCTCGTGGACACACAAACCGGATTGTGACACAAGCGCCAATGTTCCGCTGCGAAGGTCCATCAAATCTGTACGGTTTACGAGACTCACCAAGCAAGCAGGCTTAGTCTCATCTCCCGTTGAGAACTCCACCCATCGACAGCACATAGAGGGTCACGCCTACGTCCTTCGAAAGCCGATAACTGGGCACAGGAAGATGAGAAAGGACAATGTTTGTAAGTGAGCAGATCTGACACCCTGTCCTTCGCCAACCTATCCCTGTAGCAGAAGACGTACTGGGGAACCTGCAAGCAACAACAGCCATCCTATGCTATCCTCGCAGTGGCTTCCTCACGTCTCATGCTCAGCTGGACGCCATGGCGAAACCCTCGCAAAACTGCGAGAATGTCCATAGGATGTCAAATGGTTGGTACCTGATATAGTCGGATCGCCATGCCTCATTACCTAAACGAGCAGCTTTACAATATGCGTTCACATTCATACATGCATGCATGCATGCATACACACACATACACACATACACACACACACATACATACAGACAGACAGACAGACAGACAGACAGCCAGGCAGGCAGGCAGGCAGACAGACAGACAGACAGACATACATACATGCATATATGCATACCCGCATACAATAATACATGCATACATGCATACTCACGCTCGCCGCAAGAGGGTCTCGCGATGCTAATGGCGGTCCAAGCCGGCGTCTCACGGACGCATGCCACTTAGGGCACCCATGGAACCTGCTGAGCCATTGCCGATTATAAGCTGAAACAAACAAGTAGTAAGAGAAGATAAATTTATACATCACCCCACCCGGCGTGAAGCGCCCCATGAGCAGTGGGGAAACTCGCAATAATCGGCAAAGACGTGTACAAAAGGATACATGATCGCTGCCACTTCGTGTTGAAGATCGCTGCGGTCGTCAGATAAGAATGCTCTGTTGCAGAAAAACAAAGCGGCCAAAGCAGCATAGGAGTATAAATACGAAAGTAGATATGAAAAGATATTCCAATGTCAATATGTGAGAACAAGTGTCGACATCTACGCCATGCTACCACTCTTGCTCAGCAAGAAGATATATGAATTCTGGTTGACTAGTTCCTCAATCCGAGCACTAGGAGGTTCGGCACCAATGTTGTCATCTGTCACATGCTGCAGCCTACCGTCCTTCAACAGAGCCACTCTGTAGTGTCCCTGCAGCTTCGTCGCCCCGATGTGAAAAATGATGGCTTGGAGCTGGTATCGACACGATGCGGTATGGATGCCAGTAGGATTGAAGTACGGAACGTACACTGCTGCGCTGGGCTTAATCACTGTGTGCGCTATCGAAGCGATTCACCTGCATGGGAAAGAGGGCAGGAAGGCTGGACACATCCCGAGCAGCATGTCTTGAAGCTTGATTGCGCCACAATATGACGAGTCTCTGGAGCGTGGTATAGGTTTGGTCAGGTAGGGTGCTACTGGGGAGGGCTGCAGGTAAGGTGAGGGGCCAGAAGTTACCATGATCTAGTGTGCGAGGCTCGGCATTGTCCGCTTCCTGCAGGGCCAGCCAGGTTCCTAGCATCTGATCCACACAAAACAGGCGGCTGAGGAACTGCAAAAACTCAGCTGCGTCATGTTGGATGTGCGGGCGGGCCCAGTCTAGCATGCAGGTTTGCCAAACCCTTACACGCCACAATTCAACCCTTGCATTTCCCCTGCACAGCCACTGCAAAAACCGCCCAAAAGATGGTGCCGCAACCGGTATTCCCGGACCAGGCATGTCGTCACGTGAGCTGTATGATGCAGCTGACCAGAGCAGTGCATGCAGGCTGGCATTAGCATAGCAGTGAGACCCCCTATTAACCAGGATTAAGGACAGGACCTTATTAGGGTTCAGGGTTACATGCGCTGCATCATGCGGTCCACTTGCTGGGCTAGCGGCGAGCGGCCTAATTTGGAGGGACGGATCGTCATTCCCACTAAGTGGGTGGCCGAGTTCCTGCACAGGCGTCTGAAAAGCTTGTACATCTCCTGGCTGGCCTCCGAGCGATTCTGAATCGTGAGAAGGAAAGGAATCACCTCCGAGGAGAGGTTCTGTGTCAAGGGCCTCAGAGCATGGAACCTGCCCACCACGTCCGGGAACGCCGTGTAGGTCATCATGGTGGTAACCATTCGGACTGCATCCGTGTGCTCCAGGGGCTCCATGGTATCCTTCTCGTGGGCTTTCGCCTCCTGGTTCCACCTCATATACACATACGTTGTTCCCTCTGTCAGGTGGAGCTCCTTGGCCCGCTGCAACACATCCTCCTGAGTGGGGTCCTCCATCCTTCTCATCATCGTCAGCATGCTGTTCAGGACACAGTACAGCATCACATTCCGCATCGGCTGCGTAAGGCTGGTGGGGTCCTGCTCCTTCTGCCGTTTCCAGTCTACCCCCACTTGGTAGAGGCTTGTCCGTGATCGACCACGGGTTTTGGCTCGACCGCGTTTGAAAGAATAAAATGAACTCGCTGTCCAAGTTGTTGATCGCCAGCTGATCCTCCAACCTGATCGTCAGTCTGGCAACCTGGACGAGGAGCTCCTTTAGTTTTTCTTCCTGCTCTCGAACCCTGTCCTCCCGGCTTTCGCGGGTGTCGCGCCGATTGGGCCACTGGCGCTGCCAATAGCTGGTCTGACTCTGGCGGTTGCCCTGAGGATTCCAGCTGGAGCTTTGAGCCGGGGCGTCGTGTCGACGAGCTGGGGACGGCCGCGGCTTGTCCTTCGCTGCCTCCTTCGTCGGGCTGGGCTCTTGTCTGCCCTTCCCGGTGCCCGCCTCCACTGCCCGGTCCCCTTTCGACTCGCCTTTGGCAAACTTGGCCTGCGTCGCCTCCGGGGACATCTGGTCCTCTGCCCCCATGGCCCGCTTCTCCATGCCCTCCTTGTCCTGATCCATATCCACAGGCTCCTCCGCTGTCGAGGGGGGTCCTGTGGAGGGGAGCGCCGGAAGGGCGCCCGCAGGAGCCATCATCTTCCCGAACTGGGCAAGCTCCGCCTTGGCCTCCTCCAGTTGCGACTGATCGAAAGTAGCCATGAAGGGAAGCCTGCCGGGAGTCTTGCAGAGTATGGAATCGGGCAAACAGGTGACCACAGATCCACAAGACAGGGCAATTTAGAAGGTGTGTCGTTGGGCGAACCTTGTACCAGGAGTGGCAGAATTCGCAGGGGCGGCAGATACGGCCACGAGCTCGGAGCCAGCTGAGGACAGCCGTCTGATGCTGTGCGACTTGAGGGTGGGCTTTTACTGCATGTCTGGATAAGTAGGCCGGGCTGGTACACCACTGAAAACATTCGGGGCAGTGATTCAAACATCCACGCTGGCTGACTGCTTGAGCTAAGGTTTTCAAATCCCCCTGGGTGGCCAGGTTCTGTATTGAGGCGTCAAGGAAAATGGGCTGAGACTCGGGTGTAGGCGCAGAGGCCTCCTCCGGCGCGGACGCCCCATGAGCAAGGAGGCTTGTCACCGATGGCGTCTCAGGGGGTTCATGTCTAGTGGTTTCGGGGGGTGTAGGGGTATCATCAGGACAGGTAGTCCTATGTGCATGAAACACTGGGCAAGCCTCCTGATGAAAGTGGCCAAAGAACTGCGGCCACGCTCTAAACGACTTCAAGCAGTGCCGACACTTCGGCAGCCCATCAAGCGCATGACGGCGTGCAACTTCAGCATTCCTACGGTTCTTAACGGTGGGGTTCACTTCACGGGGCTTACGAAAATGCGGATGTTGCTTACCCAAATGAACATTAACTGCATGATTTGTGGTAAACCGCACTCCACATACCGGGCAAGGGTGTTTTAGGGAAACGAGCTGGGTGACTTCTTTTAGTTGGGTGGTAGCGCCATCAGTGGCGGACTGCCGAAAAGTAGTAGGGACGAAGTCCCACCACTGGTGCACACGCAGAGGCTGCAACTGAGCAACGAACTTCCGGCACTGCTCCGTGCGCTGCAGCGTGGCATGTAGCAGCTGCTGCAAGGGAGTCTTGAGACGCAACCTATCGTACAATGCCTTGGAAGTTTCGTGGCTGATGTGCGCGGGACTACGGGCTACCATACGAAGCTGTCTACTGGTCTGCGCGAGCAAGAGGTTTGTACCTGCTACGTCAATCCCCATAGCATTAAGTCCATGTTGGGCGATAGACCAAACGCATGCCTGCCACAACTGTACACGCCTCCTAAGGGGAACTTGGGTGTGTTTCAAAAAGACGTGGAGCCTATGAAAAGCCACCCAGGACAACGCCAGTCGATGCTTAACCGTAGCGAGCTCAAAATTCTGATATCCTATACACACCCCTAAGTATTGGTGAGTAGGCTTGATGGGAAGTCGGATGACCCCTGTCGGGTGGCGAATCAGCAGACTCCGCTGCCCACGAATCGTGGCTGTAAAGTCTTTGAGCAGACTAGGCGCAGCTCGCCCCTGTATGGCCAGCAAGATGACCGTTTTGTCCAAAGCTATTTCCATTCCAAAATCACGTAGGACCTCTAGAATTTTGGGGATCTGCGTCACAGCATTACGGAAGTCTCTGGGGTGTTGAAATTGCCATTGGACATGAAAATCATCAGCATACGCGGTCAAGGCTTGGGGTGGCAGTTGGGATTGGAGACGGTCGAACAATAACAATGTAAACCCAATCCATAACAGGGGGGATAGCCCGCATCCTTGGCGGATGCCTCGGCCCATGCGAACTTGGGTACTGGCTTCATGTTTAGTGAGGACAATAATGGCCTGGTCATGAATGTACATGATAAGGGACACCAAGTCTGCTGGGGCTCCAATCCGCTGGAGCGATTGAAGGAGGCTGGATCGCGGTAGGCGATCATATGCTTTGGATAAATCCAATGAAAGCTGCATTCCCCCATTTAAGGCTGAGTCCTTCAATCCCTGTCGCAGCTTGAAGATAGATCTCCCACCTCCTTTCAAACTCTCACGCACGCGGAAACAGTGGGAAGCCACCCGGTCTAGGGCATCCGCCACCTGCCTTCCCGCTAGATAAGCGAATTGCGGAACGCCTTGCAGCGCCTCCAACAAGAACGGACGTAATCTGTCAGCCGCTATCTTCGCTAGAAGTTTTGACCACATTGGCAATATGGAAATCGGGCGTAGATTGGAGGGTGTGCATGGGGGCTTATTGGGTTTCGGGAGTAGGGCGAGGTAGGATTTGTGCCAGTCGGCTGGGAATTGTAGGGCTCCAGGTTGTAGAACCTCATTGAAAGTGCGCGTGATGTGGGGTATCAGGGCAGGGGCGGCTGCTTTCCACAATGCAGCAGGAGCGTGTCCCGACGGCAGAGCCTTGCGTCCTGATGTTTGATGCAGCGCTGCACCCACCTCTTCTGAGGTTATATTGAGTGGGGCTGCCAAGCGCCAGGTGGTGTTAGACACTGATGCTGACTGATACAGCTCTGCAAAGTACGTCCCTAGCACGTCAATCTCCTGTTCCGGGCTCAACAAGTGTCCCGAACTGTCCCGGAAATGAATGGTTCGCTTGGAAGATTTCGGACGGAGCTTTTGGGAGATCTGGTACAAGCCTGTTAGCCCTCCACCCGGTGACTGCAAAGCCTGTTCTATGAGCTGATCTACCTGCAGTTGCTTTGTGGCTCGAACTCTACGTCGGATTTCTCTATCATGTTTGCGAAAGTTAATACTTTCCCGCCAACAAGCAAGGATGGGTCGCAAGGCCCTGACACATCTGGGAAAACATCTGGAAACCGTGGCGGTAGGGGCCTGGGAAAAATACCAGACTACCGGGGCTTGATAGGAAGTCACAGCATGCATCGCAGCCCGGAGCCTTTGCTTGGCTACCCAGTAGGTTTTTAGGCTAACTGGTGGTGTCTGTTGCCGTGGGGCCTGAGCAAGGGGAAGCTTAGCAACCTGTTCACAGCTACAGTGCCAGGCTCTATGAATCCCGGTTTCCAGATCCGGGGCTGCCGACAGGTCCTCCTGTAGGCGATTCACAAAGACAGGTATGAGCTCTGGCTGCTGGGCAAGGCGCTCTCGAACCCGGTGGGCTTGCATGGGGTGGGAGGCCGGATTATTTACTGGCTTAGCAGGTTGCTGTCGCGGCATAAGGCAGTCTACCGGCACATGTCGCATTCCCGTAGGGTGCACTACCGGGGCTGTGTGGAGCGCCCTGGAGCGCCTGGCCAGCTGCTGACATGGAAGTCTGGTGAGCACAAAATCGAGCTGGATCGCTGATTGCTGCAGATGCAGGTAAGTGCTGGAGGATCGTCCTGCCTTGCCCCAAGTGTTGAGGGCAACTAAACCCAAATTTTCCACCAACATCTGAAAGTCAGGTTGGTCGGGGTGCGGGAAGGTTTTGTGGTGGGCTATCCCGCGGCCAACGTGGGGCTCCTTAGGTTTCAAGGTACAATTCATGTCGCCAAGAATAATCAGCTGGTGTCTCTCAGGGATGGATCTGGTCCAGGCAGCAATGGCGGTCCAGACTTTTGCACGGGACTGAAGCAGCTTCTGCTGAGCATTGGTCGTGTCGCCAGAGCTGACTGTGTTCTTAGAAGTACTGGTCCAGGCATGCTGGTATACTCCTAAAAAGTCAACAGCAGGCTGTGTATACACACGCAGGTGCAGCACACGACCTGGCACCAGCGCTGCATGCTTCAGCTGCGAGGCTGTTGCCAGCTGTCGGCTTACCAAAAACAACACGCCTCCGGAGGCACTGCCCATACCGCTATGTATGACATGCCAGTGGGCATTGGAGAATTCACTATCCTGGGCCCATTTAGACTCCTGAATGCATAGAACATGCACCGGCTGGCCGGAAACTCGCTCAGCCTCCAGCCAAGCGAAAATCTCAGCTAAACGAACAGCATGTACGCCACCCGCGTTCCAAGTCACAAATCTACATGTGTTGCTAGGCAGGAGGGAGGGTAGGGAGGGCTTGGGCTTAGTCCTACCTATGTGCTGCAATGAGAGACTGGCAGGCGTGTGAAGACGACCCTTATATTGCGTAGACCCATCTCGCAAAGCCCTGGTTTGGGCACGTTTGAAGGAGCGCTTGCAGGCAACGGACAGCTCTCGTGCAAGAAAACCGTGCGCCCTTCGAAGCACAGGTGCCGAGGCTGTCGCGGTGGGTGCGGCATGAGGCTGGGGAATAATGACAGGGGCTGCATGGGAGGGTCCTACCAATATAACCCAAAAGAGGCAGCGCAAACCTAAGCCGTATCTGGCTCTGGCACGAGGTTTAGGGCTGGCTGGTACAGACCTGCGGCACCTGTGCTTTTCAGGGGCCAAATGCACAGCCGGGCAGGCCGGCGCACGCCTCACATACTCTGTGGCGCCGGATCGGCGACGTCTGACACCTCTCAGGAAAACACGGGCCACTGCGTATCGTTGCGGGATGCGCAATGCAGTATGTGTATGCTGGAATACACACAAAACTAGGCCATGCATCACCAGGCTCGTCATGTATATGTCTGCATTCGATTGCCCGGAAAGCCTGAGCGGTTACGCGAGGCTGAAAAGCAGCGCCGCCCAAGCTCGGACGTCTTGCAGTATCTGACGGCGCCAAGTACTACGGAATCTATAAAAGGAACTAAAGTGTAGAAGAATATTAGCAAACGCAGGTCCCAGGGTGCCCAACCAGTTTCGGTGAAAGGCGTCGGGATATGGGTCGAAAAACTTCGCCCCTGCTTCAGGATTGCTAGGGCTACATGGCTGGGCTTCAGGAGGGCTTCGACCACAGCTTCCTCCAACCCTCACGTCTACCTGTGGCACCACCCTGCCTTGTCTTGCATCATGCGGAAGGCGTCGGTCCTGCAGGGTGTTGCACAGGCCCCTGGAATTGGGACCAGGGCGGCCCACTAGCTGAAGATGCGCACGTCCTGTAGCACCCTCAGAGCTCTGGCGGTGGATCATTCGATCCACGGGCTGGTTCCGGCCTTGAGCTTGTCGAAGATGAGGCTGGTAACATCTCCCCACAGCCCTGGTACCATTGCTGGAATTCAAAGCGGTCCTCGTCGGAGAGCAGATGCCATAACAGCAGGATGTAGTCTCTATAGAGGCTACCCCCGGCATTGTCCATAGCTCGCTGCACAAACTGAGTTGCAGAACCACTGTACAGCTGGTGCGGAACGGAGCCCAACAAAAGAAGCTGAAGCCTTTGCTCCACCAGCTGTCGGGTGGGATCTCCATGCCTGCCGACCTGCTCTGAATAGATCCATGCTTGGTCGTTCTCAGGGAGCTCCCGGTCATAAAGCTGCAGCACCACATTGACATCATGTCGAAGGGCTCTGGCCATTGCGAGTTCCAGTTGGGGCGCCGCAAGCTCAACCACCCCCTCTGCGGAATGGCCTTGGCATTGTCTAGCAAACGAGGCCATCTTGGCAGAGCTCTGACGCATTGTCCGGCCTTCGCCTTGCAGCTTGTCAACCAAGGCCAGTTCACACAGAATGACAACCAAACGTCGTCTGAGCCATGCCTGCAAATTGCGCCGGTGTCTGGCAGCTTGATCCTCTGCAGCTCGGAGCCGTGCAGCTCGGCGTACTGTGTCTTCAGACTCGGCTGAGGACTCAGCAGAGAGCTCGGAAGGCTCTGAATCTCCAGGCTCTGAAGAAGCCACAGAGCGAACCATATTCCCAAAACCACCATAGGGAGGCGACAAGAAAGGGAGCTCAGTGGGCTAGGGCCGAGACGCTTATACATGCATACGTACATACATACACCCATGCATGCATGCATGCATACGTACATGCATGCTACAGATTTTACACATAGACTGTTGTGTGCCGGTATGCCTGGCCACCAAGATGGAGGAGGGGTAGAGGCACATTGATGCGAACATGCACACGTACGGAAAGGACAATCAGGCAGATAAAGCAATCAGCAACGCAAGCCTACCCAAAAAAAAGCGGTCAGACAGACCCACTACCAGCCATGTATGTAGGTGGGCCCATGTCCGCAGCTGTGTCACTTTTATCTGAGGCATGTGTGCACATACGCACGACAACACATACAACACTGCAGCGGCGCCAGGCAGGGGCACGTCTCGGCTAGAAGAATGGCGCTGATGCTGCAAGGCACCAGGATGGCTGCTAAACTGCAGGTATCCTGCAATCCAGTCACAAGATCAAGAACACGAGAGTTCTGGAAATGCAAATTGGGGCAGCGGTGATTGAGAGACCCACCATCGACGGTGTCAGCTTCCATCGAAGAGTTTGTGACTTCGAGTGACGACAGTCACTTCTCGGGCCACAACCAGCACAATCCCGCGAGAACTGCCCCCAATCGCGAATATTTCTGGCGGATTTCGGAGGGGTGTACTGGCAACATGGGTGATAAGCGCACCATGCTGCTTGCTGAAGTCTACGCCAGTAATTCCTGAAATGTTCCAACTGCCTGACATGCACTCGTGTCCGTGATAGCACTACTTGTACTGTCAACAACGGACAGGTGACAAGCAAACGAGACAACCGGTTAGTTCTTTGCTGACCTTTTGACGCTCGTACGTCGCATCAAGCTTGTAGAAAACCGCCAGCACGATGATCGATGTGACGATGTACCTTGCCACAGCTATCTGGGTTGCAGAGAACACGCTTTGAACAGGGCACGTGATTTTGAAGAACACGAGATAGAAGGCTTGCGTCTTGTCCTGAGCGTTAGCAATTTAGAACTTGCCACCATCGTCATCAACAACAATAATAATGGATATGATGTCAACGATAATTACGTATGGTACCTGTAGTAAACAGAAGCAATGGTAAGCGTAAGACGAATAGCGCTGGCAGCGAAAGGTGCGAGTCGCTAGCACCGCCTTTGCTTGTCCAGTATTATTATTCCTGGTACTGGTACAGCGGTGCTTATAACAACAAGTGCTGGTGAAAGAATTTGTTTCAAGACAATTGCTCTGTTTGACGATATCTCTGAGCTCAGGGCTAGCAGATCCAGGTATCTGGCCAGGACGAAGAAAAGAGATTGAAACATCATCCACATCCAGACACGATTCTGGCTTGTGGCAGTTCTACCAGCAGCACGTTTCAATTTCCGTTTTCGCGAAAGCATATAAATATAGGCATCCGAAGCTAACTCTGACTTGCAAGCCCGCTTCCCGACTGGTATCTGGAGCCCGCCTTGTCGTAAACACAAGGCAGTAGAGAATCTGCGTGCTTCGCGATATTCCTTGTGGAAGCTTTGAGATGACCACAGACTGAGGAATCAACAGTTGCAAGCAACAACAAGCATCACCTCTCCTGAACAAGAGCGGTTCTTGGCCAGAGTTGCCAGCAGTGCGAAAACACCTGCGTTGCCGACAACTGCGACAGGCCAGCTGCATGGGCGCCGTTGCTTTCTGGTCTCCCCATTACTCATTAAGCACGAGCGTGCCGCGGTCGCCTAGGTGGCAAATGCTCCCCTCGGCGTGTGGTCAATCCAGCAAGCTGAGCCGTGACGTCTCATTCGAGACAGCATTGGGCTTCAATTGGATTCCAAGCTCCTTTGGAGCGAGGTGCTGGGATTCATTAACCTGCTAATGCCGAACGCTGTCTGTGACCGTGTTCCATTCAAGCATCGCCGGAGAAGAGATGCTTGAGCACCATTGGCACTCTGAGTCAACATGTTGCTCGTTCCTCGGAACACCCTCTGTAGGAAGAAAACAGTGGCAGTCGGCTCTCTGAAGATACGGTCGTGCAACCGAGGATGATGACTTACAGCTATACGGCCACACAGCTATGTTATGTCACGAAGAAGGCTTCCAAATTCCAGTAGGTTTCAGTTCAGCGTTCGGCTCATAATGACAATGGCTTGCCCGTGGGCAAGTTGCCATTGAGGTTCTTGTCAGAAGAATTGGCCTCGGCAAGTGGGAAAGGAAGTGAAAAGCATGCAGTCCGCCATGCGTATATTAGCCTGGTGCAGCATCCCAGGGATACTGCGAAACACCCTGGTTGGAGATCGCTTAAAGCCGGTCGATTCATTACTTGCAACAACATTGGCATTCCGTTGGTGTTGCTGCGTGGATGAGGCAGAAGCAGCACTCCTCCGATTGCCGTGATGAGTGCGAGGACCTCAGTGCAGTCAATACATGTCAGCCGCCGTCACAAGCATCATGCTCGGCTTCCTGCTGGAATCCACCAAGTCACCCGAAGCCTCTCAACACTGGGATTCTGGGATGGCCCCCGACCCTCCACAGTTGTAATCTCACTCCAGGTCTGCACCTGCATGTCGTTGAGCTCTGGCCTGCGACGTGCTTAGAGCGCTTGACGAAGCAGTGAGGCTTACCACTGGAGGCTCGTGGACATTAGCCACTCGACAACACACCGAGGTTCTGGCAGCTCGAGCGTCAAGTTGTCATTGCTCAGTGCCTGGGGCTCGTCGCAGAAAAGAGCCATTGCTGACTTAATGTGGCTCTTTGTGGTTCACTATCATGCCCTGACATGGCAAGGCGAAGCAATCGACAGCAGGCCCGGTCCTAACTGTTTCTCTGGTGTCCAGCATGCCAACCCTGCTACGATTCGACGACTCCGCCAGGACCGGCACCTTTTCCTCTGCCGGCAAGCAGAAGCTGAATCTCCTGGCGGGTGAACTATCTGTTTGGGCACGCTAGGGTCCAAAGTGAGGCAAAGAGGTTTCAGACAACAGATGACAAGAGACCTCGCATAATTGTAAGGGCAAGTGCAGCTGCAAAATTGCCAGCAACACTTTGCACTTCTCGGGGTGCCTGCACACGGCCCATGCTGAGAGTTCAGACAGCCCTTAAAACAGTTCTGGAGGGTTCGTCGGCTAGACGTGGATAGCTACATCGTGCGATGTCAACAGCTGAACCCAACAGCTTCTACTTTCGTGTCGCACAACGAACGACGGCCTTGCATTTTTGCGACCGGGCTGGCACTCGACATGGTCGCCTCATTGCAAAGGCAAGAGAAGTTATCCACAGCGCACCTGCACGGAATATTTTCCAAGCTTGGGATCTGGAACGGTTTCCGGCTGCCATGGATTGGCACAAGGCAAAAAGGACTTGCAGGCAGTTCAGGAGAGGACCGGTGTCTCACCCCCGGCCAAGAAGCCGGTGAAATGCAAGAAGTCCTCAACAGCCGATGAATCTCACACAGGATGCAGTTCGCCTAAGGCCTCGAAACATGCAACCAACATCGGCTGCTCCGGCCCACAGCGCAACAGCTTGAGTGTTGGAGGCAAACAAAGAGGAGCTCCGTCTAAAGACTCTGAATTACACAGCCTAGCAAACTGAGAAGCGTCCATGTATTGCTCAGCGTTGCGGCATTGAAGTCTTAGGGTTATCAGCCACAAGGTTTGGGAGGGCTCTATCATTCCAGGGTTTTCGGGATTTTCACAGTTTACAACATGTCAGTGCTGTTGCATGCCATGCGGGCTTAACAGTTCCTGCGGAGAGAAATCCAGACGCATATTCAATCATGAAAGCAGGATATCTTCTCAACAAGGTATCATATGGGCCTTTGTGTGATTCTTGTGAACAGCATTCGAGTGATTTGGAATTATTTTGATGCAGGGGTTCGGAACGAGCTTTAGAGTACATGTCAAAGGTGTGTTGCAATTTTGTGACATCTGCGATTTTAAGGTCAGGCGCTGTACCTTTCGGAGATTTATCGCCTGTGCTTGCAAGCGTCTGCGGTTACAACTTACAACCCCAAGGCCTGCACGAATATGCAATGCGACTGCAGGCACAAAGTGGTCTCTCCTCCAGCAGCATTGCGTGACTCCGCCATTGCCTGTGAAGGAGCATCACCTGCAGACACGCATCTTTCTGAGCTTCCTGGCTTAGAAGTAGGAGACGTGTCAGGAGCTCTGGTGCGGCCAGAGCACCATGAGAAGGACGAGTCTCATACCAACAACCCAGGAACTGGCGAGAATCTGGCCACCAACACATCACGGAACATTTGTGATGCATTCTGAACGTCCCTGTCGCCTGAAACCATGTCTAGACTTGACCAGGTCGAAGCGGCTAAGGAGGCTTGGAATTTGAGATTGGCTGGTATTTTACTGCGGCACTGCACGAACCGAATGGCCTACATGCCGCACCGGAGTGAACCCAACCATAAACACAAACACTGCAGGCCCTGCCTGGCACATGAGCGTGGTAAGATCGATGGCCTACCAGCAGCAGTTGCAGTCCATCTCCCGCGCTGTAGGCTTTTGCTGGGAGTGGACCTGGCCTTTGCAGGGCCATGAATGCGACAACAGCCTGCAATGAACTCCTCCACCTCGATGGAGCCTGTCATTGAGTCTGTGTGCAGAGGAGTTTCCAGATACGTCATAAATACAATTCCTGCTGGACTCCGGTCATGATTCATGATCTGTCTTGCTGCCTTCGTTGTCGATGTCCAGCAGTCTGAACAGACCTTGCCAAGTCTGGCCGAATAGTCAGTGAGTGAATAGCTCAGTCCACAATCCCCGACATGCGCAAGTGTTGTTGGCACACGGCCTCCAGACAACATTCGGTGCTAGCTATCGCTGCGCATTCTTTGGCGCAAGCGATGGCAATATTGACTTGGTTCTACTCGCACCTGTGGTGCCTTGAAATTGAAACGCTGAAGCCCGGCTCGCTGCCGGCTTTAGTCCTCGCCTCCGATGTCTAGTATGGTGGCTACCATCTCAGAAATTTCTCGCCACAGTCCCATGGAGAATTCATGGCCAAGTCCTTTCATCGCATTAAACACGACCTCAGTACAGGCGCAAGCGGCCAAAACGGCCAGGAGAGGAGCGCAGTGTTCCCGTTTCGCGGAAGAAATCTGTGATCCATTGCACAAGCTGCTCTTGGCCGCACTTGGACCCGTCTAGACTGACCGGTGCAATCTGCCTTCAAGTCTGAGTGACAGCTCGGTAGCCGTTGTTCCCCAACATTCGCCACTGCTCGCGAGCAACTTCGACAGGTACGACCTCATCCTGCAAAGGGGCTCCCATGCAAACATGAATACTGAGCAACATGTCAAGGACAAGTCCTCCAAGCCGTGCAACACCACGATCAGCTGATCCTCTCCTGTGGCGGCCTGATCATTTCGAGCTCGCAACTTGTAGGAGTCGGACCACATTTCGGTATCTCTGCGAATTCCAAGCAGATTTCGCACCTGCGATGGCAGCCCACTGGACGGATACGCACTGGTGCACCTTCGTTCGGGTTTACTTTGCGTTCTCATTTAGGCTTCTTGCGAGAAACTAAGCAACAGTGTCGCTACCGGGGCGTTTCCTAGGGTTTAGAAGAACCTGGCCGCAAACCTCACACATTAAATGGCAAGAATATGCTCGAGACACTGATGGCAAGGACGAGGAGGATGATGATGAGGAGAACGACAACGACAACCAGCTGCTCCGGTGACGATGATGATGCCATGGTGGTGATGCTGGTGGCGGCGGTGCTGGTGCTGGTGCTGGCACTGGCCAATGACGATTGTGGTGCCAATGCTACTGACGATGACAAGCACACGACAGCCATGACAACGACGACGACGATTGACACTGATGGTGATGATGATGATGATGATGGTGATGACGATGACGATGTAGGCCATCGTCATCATAATCGCCATAGAACCTCATGGCCAGCATCGTCGCCCTGGAAATGGTTCTCATGAGCAGAACCACCACCGTCATAACTAGTCCGACCGTCTTGACCATCGTAATCACTATCACCATAGACCACAATCAGCCATAACCATCTTCTGTCAAATCGACAGAGCCAGTATCATCGTCTTCCTCAGCCTCATCGGATATACGACAAAATGAGGCTTCCACATTGACTTCCAGCAAACCACCATCTCAATCGTTATGACCCCCTTTTCCTCATCGTCATTATTCTCAGCTTCATGCTCAACATCTTCATCCCATCGTAGCCATCATCGTCCTCACCATGATCATCATCGTCAACGCCAGCACCATGACATTTTTCACCACAATCGTATGGCCACCCAGGCTACGCCGCACAACTCAGATTCCCTCTGTTGAGGCCTGGGCGTCTCAAATCCGTTAGGCCTACACTCCTGTTGACTGCTGCCAAGGCACAGGAGACCAGCAAGTCTAGTCGAAGGCAGTGCCAGTAGTGCAGCAGTGCCTCCTGCTCCGAAGCCACCCAAAACCTCAACTACAGTATTGGAACATAGCATTGGGGCACACTTGGACTGATGCAGTACTCTGCAGCAGTGTTGACCGGCCAATGCTACACTTGCGTGGATGACTTGGTGACACGTCGAGGGGCTTCCCGAAGGCACTTTTCACATGTCCATTGCAAGGTAAGGAGCCGTCTTCTCAGCTGCAAATCCAGCCATCTTGGCCTTAGCTCTACTTCTAAAGTGACTCAACTTGACGCCGGACCCTGTGAGGACCGCACTTCCTGCAGCAGAGAATTGACTTCGGCTAGAAGGAAAGCGCCATCCTTCACCTCGAATTGGATTGAAACGAAGCGAATCAAACAAGGTCAACAATCCTTACAGGCGAGTGGTAAAGCGAAGACAGATTACAAGCTCTTTTGCCAAATCGCCTTGTCCTTGTCCTCAAGCTGCCGCAGCAGTACATTAACACCAGGCAAGAAGTCGCTCATCCTGGAAAGCAATCGGCTGCACATGTTCGACCGGTCTGCGCACGTTTAGCACCCATGCTGGCAGGTCGAGCACGAAGGATAACGTCAAGAGACTGGTATGGTACAGCCCTATAGGTTATTTCCGCGGATAGCCCCTCGCGTGTAGCTGCCTGCTAAATGCTGGCAGACAAAGCGGGGTGGGGATTCAGACACTTGCACGCGCTAGCTATGGGTGAGGTTCCAGAAGATAAACCTGGTCAAAACTGTCGGTCCAAACTCGGACAAAAATTCGGCCAGTTTCTATAAACCCTAAACCCCGAAGGGTTTAGGACCCCCGTTTGCACTGCTATCTTCGAGCTTCGGGTCGTTGTCCAGTATCACCTGTTACGCAAAGAGGGCACGTGACCGAGTGCCGGGCTAGGCACAAAGGGTCTTTGCACCGCGCGAACTATGGGGCACCGAGGGGCAAGTGGTGAGCGAGGTGTGTGGGAACCCCCCGCTCTGTAAATCTTGAACAGTCGAGACAGCGTCATGATGTATATATGCATCATAACAGGGCAACTTCAGTATGACATGACGGTAGATGCGGCGCCCTTCAACGAGATGGAGCTTGCTCTTGATGATGGCGGTGGTGATGGGTGAAAGGTGGAAAGCGCGGCCAGAGGTTCAAAATGCAAAAATGTCCTCTTGGCCACCAGCGTCTCGTCGACTCGGCCGACGAGACTTGCGTCGTGCAGCCATACGAGACATCCAGTCGGCTCCGTCCTTGTAGCGGCTACCAAATCGGGCTAAGACCGCTCGGAGCGACTCGGAGCTCGGCTCAGACAAGACACAAAGGAAAGGCATCAGGAGACTCGCTGGCGTCAAGAAACTCGCCGGCGCCCTTGGCGCCCTGTGGCAGCACTTGCCGCAAGAATTCGAAAATCTCTTCCAGCTCGACAGCGATGAGTTGGTGTCGCAATCCTTTCACAGTCACCAGGTTGACCTTGCTGTAGCCTTTGGATGCCAAAGATTTACCTAAGCATGGAGAGCGCCGCATTGAAACGCCCTCATAAACCAGCACAGCATATTCAGAAACATCACCAGCTCGAACATGCCAGAAGCAGCATGAGTTGCAGCTCCTTCGCGCCACCGCGATGGGAACCATCGTATCTTCGTCGCCGTGGCACATGAGAATCGGAAGTTCGCTCTTCCCGTCCACAGCAGGCAAATCTGCCGTGACCCAACTTGCCTGCAGTAGCAGGCACGTTAAGCTCAAAACCGAGCAGTCCAATAAACCGCAACCTTCTGTGCTGCTAACTGCCAAGATAAGATTAAAACGGTGAAATGCATTCACCACTGAGGCCGGGACCACCGCACAAATCCCGGCCAACATGTGTGGGAACGAAAGCCCTGCCTGCAGAGCCAGCGTGCCACCTGAGGTCGGGGCCAGAGTCCACTAGTCACTAGTGATCTTAGGATGGGCTTGACGCAGCTATCCCGGCCTTGACTGAAGCCGCAAAGCACGATTCGATCAGCGGCGAAACCTGCACAATGATCACAATGTCAAGTTGGCATGATGATGGCAAGCGGTACGATGTTGAAGATCATCTGCATCTGTCATCTCTTGCTCTATTCTGGCCTTGCTCCATAGCTTTGTGGAGCAGCGCATGGACACCTAAGTCATCATCAACTTTTCATACTTCGAAGCTCCAAATCTTCATCTGCCCGTCTCGTGATGAACCTCATGCAGGTTGGGGCACGGTCTACAGCCTCTTGCATTCCTGCATGACATCGACCTTCCACCGCCGGCTGCTCAGGCAGATCGAACCAGCCTGGCTGGAATCGCGAGCACACCAGAGTCACATTTTCGAAATATCTTCGAGCGTTCCTAAGTTGACAGGTTGTTGGCAAGGAGCTTTTCATTCGCTGCCCCGGAAGAATCGACAACTCTGCAATCTCCTGAGCTTGCACGTACGTACGATGGAGACACGTGCTACAAAGGCGGCCACAGCAAATCCCCCTTTGAGCTGCAGGCCAGGCACAGACTCTGGAAACCTCCACTTCACCCAGGAGAGTGTCTGAAGGTTCCTGACTCAGCGTCAGACTGATCAGATCTTTGAGCTGAAAGGCTCCCTAATCCCAAGCTCTCCTCGTGCCGATGAGCATTTTCTTCATATGGCATCCACTGGATTGCCTCGAGAATTGGCTGTTGGCTGCCTGCTCGCCCGCCTCTCTGGTCTTGAATGCTGGCCAAAGCGCAAGCCATGTAGCCACAGAACCAAGGCTTGGTTGTGTCGTGGATTTTCCATTCCAGCATCATCAAATTGGCCACACATGATGCCAGGGTTCACGAAATTCCCGGACAAGCCATGGCTGTTGCTCGCACATTTAGCATCGAGTTAAGTTCTGACGATGAGGCAGGTCAGCTCTTGAGTCTTTGAAGCGAGATCTACCCTGTTTGGCAAGAGATTTCGCTATCTTCATCGTGCGCCCTGTGGCTGCATCTAGACCAGGAAGCTCACGAAAAGCCGCATGACGTCAGGACAACGCTGCGCTGGTCTGCCATGCATGGCCACACGGCTTTCGCATGCTGCATCTGCTGCAATCACCGAACACGGGATGCTTCTTCTTGGGGAGCTGCTCTCGGCTTCAGTCACGCTCAGGTCCAACGACTTGAAGTATGCCTCGCAGTGAGCGTGATCTCGCGATCGTGTCGGTGTGCAGTAGGCGTGGTCGATGTATCAACTTTCTGGGAGCTTCCGAAGCCTGTTTCTGCATACTGTTGGATAACATCGTACTACGTCTGGCCGATAATCCGATGCTGCTCGGTGGGGCGAGATCGCTGGAAAGCGGTTCCGTGTGTATTCCGATCGTGGTCCCTGCAGTTCCCCCCCCCCAAAAAAAAACGAAGGGACACGGGCGCATGAAGCGGATGCCATCAAGCCTCCATGATTGGGTTGTTCAGCTGGCCCTCGAACTGCTCCCAGGTCATGCGGCCGGACCTTTGAGAGTGTCCCCCCAACCAGGCTTGGCAGCTGCTTACAAAATGCCACCCAAGTGTGGAGCTCTCCAATCTCCATCTTCGATACAAGCTCGCGCATGCGGCTCACCTCAAGAAGTCTTGGGCATGGGGGAATGTGGGTGCCCCAAATCATCCAAAGTGAAGAAGCCACGCCGCTGCTCCACCATGCCGAGCACCCTGCCACTGTAACGGTGTTTTCCTCCTTCAGTGAGCTTTTGGATAAGTTTGCCGGCTTCTTTTGACAAACTGCTGCAACCAATACGGACCTTTGTACTGAGTATAAGGCCATATGTAAGCTTTAGGTCCTATGCAACCGTGCATTGTGCCATGTTGCTATTTGTCAGATGGCGAAGCAACATGCCGATCGATGGCAATGCATGTCATTGCTTCGTGGGCGCACTCAGCTTGATACATTCTACTCTACCATGCCAGAATGAGGATGACGATGTTGATAGCTGTTGGTCAGCAGGGCTTTGTATGGATCCGAGAAAACGTAGCTGATTCTTGATACAAGTAGCTAGTCATAGCTCAGTATCCCAAACACCAATAACGCGACGTCAGCTGAGGCCCGGTCTCGTGCACTTGCCATGGCCGACTCGACAAAGACCCCCGTAATCACATTGAGCCTAAGAAGACAAAAATTGACGAAGGCACCCACTCCATCAAACTGCAGAGTTTGAGCGGGGCAGCCGCCAGCTGGTGCAGCAGAAACTGCTGCAAACACATGTGACCACAACAGTGGACTTGCAAGCACAAGTGTCACAAGTACTTGACTACAGCAACTGAAGCTGCAGAATGGAAAGGCAGGCCTGAAGCAAGGCTAAACCCTAGCAACCAAACAGCAAGACCCAAAACATCTGGAGCAACACATTGAGCCTTGGGATGGTAACGTATTCGAAGAGTCGATAAGGGCTGATGATGTTTGCGCTGATGGCAAGTCTGGCATTTCGAGTTCACGGAGGCCAGTTCTTTCAAGAGCCAAGTCAAATTCTGCCCACAGCCCCTGCCCTGCCAGCCCCCTCCCGCATTCACTTGTTATCCGCCTTGTGATCGCGTGGCCATGCGATGCCATGCGCGTGCTATACTGTTCTTGCAGTCTTGGCTCTGGTTTGCTTTCTTCTGTCGACACCGGCTTCAATTGAATGCAAGACCGGACCCCTTTTTCTTTTCAATGCGCCACCGCACCCTGCCGCCGGCATTATGCAGCACGTTTACTGGTTGTCACAATCACGGCGGAAAGCAGCAGCGCACGGCGTGTAAGCACATGCACCCTCTCGCGAAATTCCTTATCCTACATCAAGGAAGCACGGCCGGCGTGTTGTGGAACCGTTGACACTTGCACCCCACGGGCGGGGGGGCGACGCAATCTCACAAACCGGGGGCAAGGTGCGCGGGACGGAGATGGGCGATACTCCAACTTTTTCACTTGCCGCTGCACGTTGAGGCTATGCAAGAGCGTTGTGCAGCGCGCTGGGCCACCTGGGATGCTGCCCTCCCGGCCCCGGCACCAGGCATCATCGGATATCATCGGGGTCCCGTTTTCTCCAAAAAGACGCCTCTCCCGGAGCCCGCGTGCAGCCCAGCGGCCCCTGAAACACCTCATGGCCTGGGGGTTGGCTCGAAAGGGACAGTTTCTGGGTGTCCCCCCGCACCCCCCAAAAGCTGATCAGCAAAGCTGGGTCTCAAACGAAATACTCTTCCCTCCACGGCGGGAGCTTTCGTAACAAGTCAGTAAGCTTCCTGCATTGCCAGCGCTGCGAAGGCGATGTAAACTGCCTGTGATGCATGAAGAAGTCAACAGAGGCGACAGGAGCATGCCCATGAAATGAGGCTCCGTTCGAGATACGTATGAAGATGAACATGGATCCCAAAATCCTGCAGCCGCTCACCCCAATGTTTCTGTATGACTTTACATGGTGGATGGGTGCGGATGCCGACTGTTTCAAAAGCCGGACAACTGCAACAATGTCCGAAATCTCCCTCAAGGCAAGACACGAAGATCAAGCCCATGATCGGTTGATGGCGCTCCTTGCTATGCGACAGGTGCTGGTCCGACATCAGCTCTAGATATTGCATCGCGGCACTCGCTCTCTAAGGCGTGAACGAGCGGCTGTGAAGCATCTCGCCAACTAATCTGCGGAAGGTATCGTGCGCAACCGGTTATTGCTGTTTGCTGCCGGCACACCCCATAGCTCGGGAACAAAATGAGCAGGCCACTCCACTAGTGATCGACTGGTATAGTGACATGACCTGCACGCATGGCATACACAGCCGATCCACAGGCTAGAAGAGACTTGGGTCCGCACAGATCGCAGGAGCGAACCATAGTACCTCACAGGTCATCCCTGCTAGCCGCAAGCTGGTACTCATAACTCATAGCCGTACTTGCCCATGTCCCGCTAAGCTCGGCGGCTCGAAAGTGTCCGTGCCCTCTTGGATAAGCTGTGGCCTCTGACAAACTTCCATGATAGCCTAGCAAGCACATGCTTACCTACGTGGTCGTAAGCTTGGCACGCTTCCAGGCCGACATCAGCGACCACTTGCGTGAAGCAAATACCCACCACGAAGATCCTGCCGGCATGCTCAAAGGTCGGAAAGACTTTGTCGTGGCTTAGGCTGAGGGTCGGACAACAGCAGGAGTAGCACCACAGTCCAGAGCAATGATGTCATCCTTAGGGCGTAGCTGTTGCCACTGCTCATTGCCCGCAAGGCGACAAGATGGGAAGAGACAAATTGTCAGCGAAGGTGCGTTGAGGCGATAGATTGCACAAGGGTCCTGCATTGGAAGTCTCGTGGGACAGTTGGAGTGCCCAGGCTTCTTGAAGACTCACCGACTCACCGCCCACCTGAGTTCGCGGATCAGCCGCAAAACCCGGACCTTTCACCCGGCGCTCTGGATCCAAGCTCCACTCGAGTGCACTTCGACTGCTGTTGCTCTAAGCAGAAACACAGAATCTCCAGCAACTTCACGAAAATTTCTGGAAGACAAGCCGGGAAAACCAATCGGACAATTCGGACAAGACCTTGGTTTGCCGTGCTGTATGGCTGACTCATATCTACAGTGCGACAAGCCGCAACAAAGATCACACAAATCCACTACATGAATGTGTTGCGCCAAACTGGGTACAAAGCTCTTACTCTAAGTGGGTGACCTGGCAGTACCACTGCACACATGACAGAACAAAAACGACACTGTAGCAGTAGCACCTGAGGTCCGCACGGAGAACGCGCAAAATCCGCATGAAGCTAAGATTCACAGATCTCAGCCAAGGTGGATCTCTCGGAGTGGTTGAGCTTGCAGCTCATTATCAGACAATCGGTCCGGCCCTAAGTTGCAGGCACAGCGTCAGAATTTTCGTAGACCTGGCATACGAAGCTGCGGCTCCCGTGCGTCTGAGGTTCTGTGCGTCCCTTCACATATGCTGTATCAATTTGTTCCTCCGTCGATTTATCCGCCGACCCCGCTTGTGCCATCCCCCATCCCCCCTCAGCCCCTCGGTTAAACCAATCCCCGCGCCCCTGCCCATACACGATTTTCTACACACCCGGTACCTCCTTCAGCCCTTTGTGCAAACCCTATCCCCCCCTTTTGCCCCCCCTCTCTAGCCCTCCGGTCCCCTCGGTGCTTACTCCTGCTATAGCCACTTTCCCTCTCTCCCCCTCCGGTACTTACTTAGCCTTCCTCCTCTACCCCCTGCCCTCCACCCCAAAACACTAAGTTTCTTTTTTTTGTGCAGTCTAGCGTCTAGAAATGACAAGACTACGCTTCTCTCCGCTTCCAGTTCCTACTCCCCCCAGCCGGCCTCCCCTCCTCCTACCCTCCCACTTCAAAAAAACTTAGTTTGTTTTGTGAAATGACGAATCACCGAAAAGGTCCGCGCTTGTGCCCCTGCCCTTTACTCCCCTACCCCTCCCTTCACCCTCCTATCCCGACCCCACCCCCCCTCCCTACCCTTTACAGCCTTTGCCTCCCCCACCCGACCTCCCCTTCTCTGCGCTTCCAGTTCCAGGTGTCGGTTTGTGTGGCTGCAGAGAGCTATTTATTCTTCCAGCTTTCAGGTGTTTTGGTTGGCTTAAGTGTGCTAGCATGGCACAGAGTTTCAAGGCATGGGATCCCATTTCCTGCTTCTGGGGGTGGTGTGGATTGCTTTTTAGGCTTCAGGCTTCTTGACTTTGAAACAGCTACGGGCGAGCCAGCGACATGAAGTTATATCCCAGTCACCGCTTTCCGGGGTCAGCAGCAGCGGCGTCAGCCCTTACCTCGGGCAGCGCTCGGTCCCCGAGCGCATGCGTCCTGTGAGTTCGAGGCTTAGCCGAGGTGTAGCTTGCAAGTTTTGCTTTAGCAGTAGGCGCGACCATCATCGGACGCTTAGGTGTCGCGCACCCCCCCGTCCCCCCTCACGTGTGCTGTCTGCAGTCGCCCGGCTAGCTCCGGGCTGATACCTGCGCTGCCCGCCCGTGGGCGCATCCCCTAGAATATCAGCAACATGCAAGGCAGGCCAGCACGGTGACGACTTCTTCACCTGCAGCAACATACCATGGACATCGGACGGGGCGATCCATCGAAATGCCTATCGGCTGATCTACGAGGCCAAATCTGACTACAGTGGCGTAGGGTCTGAGACTTTGTTGGTGATGTAGGCTGCTGGCTGAGCTGCAGGAAAACGAGTAAGAAGTCGAAAATGTTCCAGCGCCACCTTGGAATCATGCCACATGTTCCACATGAGGAGTGGACCTTCCTGTTTTGCCTCATGCCAGATTCATGCAATGAGTGACTTGTGCCGCTTCCCAAGGATGACTGCGTTGCCAGTCCATGGCGGGTGTCTTGAAACACCCCCAAAAGCTTGAAGACAGGGGGGCAAAGCACTATGGTGAGCGGGGACAGCTGCAGCAAACCACAGCGGAGCACTGCCGGTAGGGCCCCCGAGCCCAGGCTTCGTGAAGAAGTCCCCTCGATAGGCGAGGATCCGGATGACCTGGGAAAGCTTGGACAAAACCCCATATGGAATCCGGAGCTGCATGTGAGGCTAGGAGTAGAAAGGCTTGATCTAGACCTTCATATGGGCTAAAGTGCAGAACAAGAACTCCGTTCGAGACGGACCTTTGGTATTCCCGGGTGGCTACTTCAGGGCGGATTCCAGTCAGGAAAAGCCCGAAAACAGCCAGAAGCTCGAGATGGCACCCACAACGAGCATTCGCAAACATGGAAAGCAGAAAGGTCCGGCACCAATTCTGCCGTGAACACCGCTCCCAGGGCAACGGCGACCTCGCTTGATGAAGTCTGAAATTCTGCCAAACTCAGAACTTGTGCCACCAAACATGAGACCATGAGCTTCCACGGCGCTTTGAGAAGACAGGCGAGACATGTACATGTTGAACTGCATGAAACCTACACCGATCTAAGTGTGGCTTCGTTAATTCTCTATTGGCAGAGGTGCGTTGACTTGCCATCTCGAGTTTTGCGATCTCGTCACACTAGGCTCCGGGCAGCTCGAATGACCGGGGGCTCTTTCGCGCCCGTCCGAGCGTTCTGAACCTCAGAACGTCCAGGCACACGAAGCGCTGAATTCAACTCGGAAAATGCCGGTAGACTTCGCAAGGCCCCGTGCTGCGATGTCTGCCTGCACACCCATCCTTGGAAGAGGCTCGAGGCTAGGCTGGCAAGCAGGAGCCATCAGCAGATACCTAGAAGGTTAGGAAGGTCCGCCAGACATGGCACACTAAGGTGAAGGCAGGACTGCGTTCGCGAGAATCGCTAGGCCTGAGGCTGCTCGACTCTCTGCAAAGCAAACAGGGGGCATGACTTCATGAATCTTTAGCTTTGAGGATGCTGCCCATGACATAGTCGAAGTACTCCAAGCACACCTCAGCCACGGAAGGGTCAAGCAGTAGCTGTCGCCGATGCGATGCCGAAACTTCAGGCCAGCCACCAGCCAAAGACACATCTTCTGGATGCAGGTGCACAAGGACTCCTTTTTGCCTCGGCTAGCACAGCGATGCTCCTGAAGCTTCTCGAATCTGCCGGTGTGGGTGTGTGTGTGTGTGTACAGATTGGAAAGGCTAGCACATGGGATCGCTTCGTCCGGGTCGTCCATATCCTCATCCTCCTCGTCCTCCTCGCCTGGCTCGGGGCCGCGTGAAGGGATCTAATAGATCCCATCGCCAGTAGACACCTAGTAACCAGGTGCAGCTGCAAGATTCTGCGGGGCATGTCCCCCCCCTTGGCATTGCAAGCCTGCCTGCCCGATTCGTTATTTGGTGCCTCGGACAACATGGTCAGTCGCTTTCTCACACGATACATGTAGCAGCTCGGCATCATCTTCTGCAAACGTCTGCATGTAGCCTGCACTGAGTATCCTGCAAGAAAATGCTGCGTGGCTCGCGCATGCTTACGCTCTTGGAAACGCGATTGGAACCGCGTCGCTTCTCAGTCTTCTCCTCGCCTTTCACTGCAAAAGCAGGAACTCGTCATGTACCCTTGCTGAAAAAGGGCTGCCTGGACCATGTGCTTCGCGCGGCACCACGCCCAGGGTCTTCGGTGGGCCTGTCTCGTCCGGTAAAACACGCAGCAAGCACAGCTTCCCCATGCAAGCAGAAGTTATCAAAGATGCAGCCTGCAGCAGCCTGTATATTTCTGCAAAGACTCCCAGCGGATGCCTGGATCCTGCTTTGATTCATCGCTCTTCTCCTCAGAGTGCATTCAGGATGCAGGATCTATGTTCCACCTTCAGGCCTCCTTAGAGTCCTGAAGCCACAAGCTGTTCGGACCATTCCTGACCTACGACATATTTCGACTGCACGCCCGTTTAGCGCCAAAGAGTGCAGCTGGGATGACAGGCTGACAGGCTCCTCCTGTCCTACCTGCGCTAGAACCGCTGGTATCTGCCACCCCCATGCTCGGCTGACCGCCTGGTTCCCTGAATCGAGGCTGCTGGTGCGCTGCGCTGTGACTCCGCCTGTTCAGACGGGCATAGAGGCATAGAGCGGCCCAGCTAACGGAAGTGCTACCGGTCAAGTCGGTCAAGTGGGGCTGCTCTGGAGCCAAGGCCCCGGCCTTTCGGAGGCCTGGACCGGCGCTGTCTCTGAACTCTGTCTCTGCAGGCGCGAGCAGATGCAGGCGGCCGAGGCTGTGGCCGCGCCGTAGCGGCATTCTTTGGAGTGCCAAACAAGGTCACAGAGCCCTCAGCGAGCGGGCCGCAGATTCCTCAGCCAAGGCAGAGTTGAGGACATGCGGCATGAGGCCTGTTCACGCATCATCACGCATCGCTCTGTCATCGCCTGCTCCTGACTCGGCTTCCTTAGCACCGGACCTTCAGTAGAAGTGTATGTACCTGGCAAAGCATCGCATGCAAACCACTTCTCCCTATCTTCTTTCGGCTCATGAAACGTTCGACAAGATCTAAAGTAGTGGCCATCCGGCTGCACTCATCTCTGCTGAACTTCTCGTGGCAAGTGCTGTCAATGCGACCATCGCGATCAACGAGATGAGTAGCATCGTTGGTTGCTATCATCACAAAACCTACTATTCCTACCACTGTTCATGCCAGCTGTACTCTCATGCCGCTGCTGCTGCCGCCACTTCCGCTGCTGCTACATTCAGCTACTGCTGCTACTGCAGCCAGAGCACGAGCTTTCATCCGCATTCGCGCGATGTCCTGCCTCGGAGAGGTCACGGAAGGGGGTTGGGGAGGGGTCGATCATGGGGTGCAGGACCGTTGGAACTTCTTCTGCTGCACTCAGCCAGAGTCTGCGATCTTGATGGCTTTGCTGCCGGCTTGATGCTTCGCGGGTTCGTGCATGCTAGTTGCTTCACATGAAGTTCCTGCGAGTGCTCAGTACCTCCGCCGCACCCACCAATCTCCACCTCTTCGCACTAGGATCAGCCACATGCTGAATTCCCGATAACTCCCGCGTCTGAGCGCGCGGCTCTGCTTCATTCATGCTGTTCAGCCTCGGGCAATGGCTTTCTACCAACAGGTGTCTCACTGGCATCGGAGATCTTGCAGGCCGCAGGCCGCAGGCGAGACAAACTGTTAAGGCCCCCCCTATGAAATGCCCGAACATGCCTTTCACCAGCGGCCAGCCACGGATTCTGACACCCGTTCTCAATCGAGCACATTCCTCGGTTCAAGGCAATCTGAGCCGCCGACGTCGCCGGAGTCGGCGGGGCAACGAGCTGAGCCGGAGGTGAGGAAAGTGAGGGAAGCGGTGGCGGGAGGACCTCGACAAAGAAGCGGGCAAGCTTCGGTCACCCTTGGGTCTTCGGACTGATGCTCGAGCAACGGACTCAACAGAAGCTCTAGATGGTGGCCGGCTACCGCTCTACTACCCGTTCCACAACGACCAGCATGAGCCTCCACCTTGGGCCGCAGAATCTTGTCATCATCCTGCGCAAACCCTTGCCAAGGCTATGCAGATGCGAAGACGAGTGGCCCTGCCTCTCACACTAGACCCCTCTTTGACTCTGAGAGGCTCCGGAGCCCGTCAGTCCTGGATGGGCTTCTCATCCTTCTCCGACCAATGGGCCAAGAACTTTGACAGCTCCTAAGTCCATCCGCTTAGATTATGAGCTGCGCGAGACTGCTGTGCTGCAATGCACACAGCAAAAAAACACACTTAGAGCAAGCTACTTGGGATGATTCTTGCACGCAACCCTTTCGAAACTGGCATCCTGCTTTCCCTGATGTTTCTCGTTCTCCCTCATTAGCAGCTTTACGAAAGACATGCTCGCTTCGGTATCTAGGCTTGGATTGAAGGTACACTAGCTGTGTCTCAACTTTTTTCAAGAAACAATGTCCAAACACAGAGCAGGAAATCCAGGTGAAAACGCAAATACAGTACATTAGTGAATCCGTGCATCCTGGCACAGTGTAACAACCACGACGTATGCATAGATAGTGTAGCAGGAGTAGGACTTTTAGACACGGAGGAAACAAGCAGTGTCTGCGTGGGCTGAGCAGTATCTGAATGAGGCGAGGATAACTTGTGTGGAAGGAAATGCTTCGAGAAATCGTTTGCACTGATTGTCTTCTTCTCTCCCAAACATCGTAATCGCAGTAATAACCATGTGACCAGTGTGTTGCCTCTGAAAATCTCCGACCAAGTGCAGCACCACCAGCATCAGTGGCAGGAGCTGCAGCAAGCGGCAAGCAGTAGAAAGAGGTGGTCGTCGTCGTCGTCGTGGTAGTAGTAGTCGCGGTAGGACGAGCAGGCGGGGGAGGAGCAACTGGTAGTAACAGAGGAGGAGTAATAAGTAATAATAACCATAGGCAGAAGTGCAGCTGTGGGAGCAATCGCACAAGCAAGAGCCAGAGAAACTGGAACGGCGAAACCTCTTTTGCCCGAGGCTGGACGCACGGACCGCCGAATCCTGAGATTCTCGGCAAGCACGTGCTGCAATCGAATTAATCAATGCCTTCGGCCGTTTCCGGGTTGTAAAGCCGTGCATAGGCTGAGCCAGCTGCCACTAGCAATGGATCCACCTGTATGAGACTGGGTTCTAGCTGACGCAGAGCATGGCACCGCCCACCGGCAGATTCTGCGTGATTAAAGTTCTGCAGCCGTGGCCACAGTGATCCAGTTGAGGACAGCACTGCAGCGACAACTTCGCGGCTGAAGGCGGAGAAGGCTGGACTGCATTGCTATGGTTATCATCATCATAATGTTTCGAAGCATAATCCGTCCCGCTCCTGCTTCAAGGTTCAGTATTCTCATTTGGATAGGTTACACTGTACTGCTGACATGGGTAAAGTATTGCGTATCACTCCCGTGTTCAATCATGGCTCACTACCAGCATCGTTGCCATCACAGCTCCCCTTGCGAAGTCTACCATCACCATGACATGAAATGATCCTTTCTTATATCTGCTGTGCTCCGCTGCTGGTGCTGCTGCTACTATTGCTACAACTACTACGACGACGACGACGACGACGACGACGACCACGACCACTACCTTGGTATTCAAAGTTGTAAAAAGTTAAGATACACACGATACATTCAGCTGATGGTCGCTTGTGTCGTGCATTCTTATGCCGTCTTTCATCATTCCTCTCGAGATTTGTGACTACCAGCCGAGCCTTAGCATGTCAACATCCATGGCTTCAGAGCCTTTCATCAATCCTCGGAGCTCCACCCAGAATTGACAAATCAATGTGCAGCCGACAGAGGTTAGGCTGCCGGCTGTCTGCACTAGGGGGCCTGAAACCTTTCGTTAGTTCAGACCGCTGTCTGCAATAACAAAGATAAAACGGCTGTGCTCCGCACAGCGATTTTTGTCAGTCGTAGGACCTCAACTGGCAGGGCCTAGTACGTGTCTAGTGTTTGGAGTCCGACTTGCATAATCACTGGAGTTGGCTCTCTTGCTGGACAAGCAGCGTCGCCCGCCTTTTGTTCGGGATGGCGATGTCCGACATGACCACAGAAAACTGATAGTGCAAGTCCGGGTCAAAGCAGAACCTGCAACACACTTGAGTCTACTATACCGGACCTCTCGCTCTCGCAGTCAATGTGCTGCCCTCGACATCAACATGATTTGCACCTGACCTACCCTATCTCGCTGCTTTAGGTTGCAGACTACTCAAGCTGTCTTCTCCTCAGTGATCCTTCATTCGCATCCGTTTTGCTATTTTTGCTACTGCTGTGAAAACCTGCACTAGAGCAACTAGCCAGTTGTGTCCAGGACTTGCGCTTCGCTGCTCCGCGCATGAGACTACCTTTGCTGCCAGGCAACGACGGAGGTCGCTGGGCGACAGGATTCATCCTTCACGGGTTTCGACAGGAAACCGAGCACCCTGTCCAGAGACCCTGAACTCACTGCAGCTCGCTACGACGTGTTTCGGGAAGGCTGTTGAAAACAGTCCTGCCCGAGTGACTGCACAGAACAACCGATCTGGGTTATTACTGATAATTACTGATGCTGCGGCAACTGCAAGCGTGCTTGGTCAATGCATCCTCACGACCCGTAACCACCGCAAGGATAAAAAGGACTCCATTTGTGACACTGGTAAGACCGGCACAGAGCGCGTAGACTCGTGTTCCTCAGCTGTGGCCACATGCAATGCCCAACGGAATTCGACTACCGCAGTAGACACAGGCTGTCAGCGTCCGAGCTTCCAATCACCTTGCATCTGCTGCATGGGCAGATCATTTGGCTCGCAGCCGAAAGGTGATTCGAGCTGCAGCGCAATGAAATTCTGTGCCCACCTGAGCTCCATTGGGGTAGCGACTGCCACTACTTTAAAACTTGCTTCCGAAGTGCATGCCGGCAAGGTACAGAAAGCAAATGACAACGAAGGAGACGCAAGCTGCAAGAACTCTTCCGAGAAGCATGCTGCAAAGGACCTGCAAATGGAAACTGCGCTCAAAAAGCTTCTCACAATTTCTCACAGAGACTCTGACCTTGCAACAGCCACGGTCCCCTGTCACCAAAGCCTCTTAGTTGCTATTGCTGTGCCGTCAGTGCTTCAACAAGCGGCGGGAACAAGGGCCCAGTGCAGGCATAGCATGGCAATACCTTGAACTGATTTCCACGAAGCGATAGGACCGGACCAACTGCCAGGCTGCGAGACAGTGCATGAGAATGCAACACGGGTGCTCACTTGCGCGAGAGGGAACGGGAATGGAAACTCCGCAATTTTTCCTGAGCTGCATACACAGGTTGTCATGCAGTAGGGGCATAATTAGCAGCTAATCTGCGCAGAACAATTACAACCAAGCAAGGTACCAGCATCAATTTGATGCGTCACTCCGAGGCAGCCGAGTGGCTCGCATTTTGTAAATTCACAATGCCGCGGGACAGCTCTTGGTACGCACGGGTAACCACCGGCGGTGCGACCACAATGATGCTGTCTTGCATGCTCAGCCTTGGGCAGGATCCCACGACAACGACCAGCATCAACCAACTTCAGGCAGAGCGGTTCTCGGGAGATTGGGCTGTGCAGTTCAATGCAGATCACATGTTGACCTCGTCCTTAGGAAATCTTAGGAACGCTGCAGCTCTCTTGACGACTGGGCATCGGCCTTACTTTGTAATTCAACAAACGGGCTCGAGGATTCAGTGTGCCTGAACCGCTGTACCCATCTGCAACCCTCGAAAAGAGTCACCTTCTTGACTCACGATGAAACCCCTCAATCCGTCTATCAGGTTGGACGGTATCTTTCCCGGCAGAACTCAGCAAGCGAGCTGTGGGTCGTTGAGCACTCCTAGCCAATGGCCCGTCCCGCTCTTTCGTCCACCACTGCCATCCGACACTTGACCTAACGCAAGTCCCACTCGTCATCTGCGCCGCTCCTTCATAGTTCGTGCCCTCGCGACTTGGTCACACTACGCTTGCCATCGCTTGCCCAAGTCGCCCCTTGACCAGCTGCAGCCACGGTGCGTGATCAGTCGCTGAAGCCACTGCAAAATTACTTCCACCTGCTATGCTGCGGACTTCGAAATCATTCGAGATCACTCAGTCTTATCAGAATCACAGATCCATCGATCCGAAATATCGCACAGGAAGGTCGTGAGGATTTCAAATCATGTCGTCGCCTTGTCCTTGCTCTTCGAAAGCATTGACAGGCTGGCGGGATCGATGCCAGCAGGTGACAATACTTCAAAGGGCCTGCCCATCTCACTCAACACTCTTGCTCATTCCATGTCATGCAAAATCAGATTGTCAGCGGCTTACTCATATCGCTGAATTGCCTGTTGCCCGTCCCATGACAGGCAATCCCGAACGCTCCAAGTCGGCATATACGTTTCGAAACTCTGCTGCCTATCCCTGTCTGGCGAGACTTGCTGCAACGCGCAGCAAAAGAGCAGACTCATGAGACGGACCTCAGCAAAAAGGGGTTCTGCCCGAAATGGGGGCTCTGGCTCAAGAGGGGGGCACTGAGTCGAGAAAAGGTTGCAGAAAAGTCGCGAGAAGGTGTTGGAATTCCTCCACTCTGCATGCCAGCTCTGGAGCTGGATTAGTGAATGCCTTCGCTTCTCTACACTCGTTCTGGTCAACCAAGAGCGCACAACAGTGCGACGCACCACGACGCAGACCAGCAAGAGATCACAGGAACGATGCAACTGCTGCAGGGACCCCACTCTTCACAGCAACAACACAGGCGCGGGGCAACGAGGCTGCTGAAGCAGTTGAACCACTCTCCGCGGGTCTGCTGTAGCAGAGTGCCGCCTTCCCACCACCTGCATTGCATCTGACCTCTAATTGCACAGGCTACATTGTTGCGCATGTCAGCAAGCCTGTTGTAGGCAATCTGACTTCTGAAGTTCCTAGGCAAAGCAGGCTGCCAGGCGAGTCTGGTTGGCACATAGATGAAGAGAAGGAAGCTCAGAAATGGAGCATACTCTTTGCCAAGAGTCAGCACGAAGAACATGCAAGTACCTCAGTGCACCCAGGCTGCTACTGTTTAATGCGGACAAACTGCGGCCATTGCAGACAGCCACTGGGACGAGACACTGAAGATGCCAAGGATTCCCCAGGCGGTGTTGACAGTGTCCTGGTCCTGCATAGCAACACCTCTTGTCAACCGCTTTGAGAATTGCTATTCGTGCCACGAGCCGACCACGACTAATTACGTCGACTGGACACATCAGCCATGCATGGTCCTGCATGAGCCGGCGTCAGTGCTCTCGAAATAGGATGCGTTGGCACTGGGCGCTGCTATGGGTTTACGTTCACCTATCCTCCGGCTGCAGGTGCTCCTGCTCTTGCTCCTCCGCCTCCTCCTGCTCCTACTGCTACTGCTGCTACGTGCTACTGCTACTGCTACCATTGCTACCACTATTCCTGCTGCTGCTACTGCTGCTGCT